TCGCTATTACGGTGGCTATATAACACGTGCTCTCTTCTCAACTGGGACGCGAGCGGCTGCGTTCGAATCGCTCGAATCGCTCGAATCGCTCGAATCATCCGTTTCGAGGTTTCTTTTTGCGCGACAAATTGGCCGCAAGCAGAGAGATATACACGTGCGCCTCCTACTTGAGTAGATTTTCCAAACCGTGACACACGAGAATGAGCGAATATCGTTCAATCTTATCGTCTAATACGATTAAAATTAAATGTATACGTATAATCAGAGTTTGACGAGTGACAGTGTTTTGTTAACGCATCGCTAACGTTCGCCGCGCTTACGAATGAAGACATTTTTCCGTCTCGATGTCGTTTCACCTTCGGGGAAGTAGCAAGGACGCGAGACATCGTCGTTTATACAAGGCGCATCTCATTGATGGGTGCATTTTTCATTTTTTCTTTGCTGATAATGAGGAATATATCGCTTACAAATATATTTCTATGCCTCTCTTTCTCTGTCTGTCTCTTTCTCGCGCGCACGCGCGCGCGCGCTCGGCGTTATGAAATACACGCTCCGCTTGCGCACGGCAGTTTCAGGTTAACGCGGCCTGCTCTAATAGCGTGGCAGGCATATTGTACCTGCGTCAGTAAGAACATAATAATGTCCATGATGCCAGTGACGTAACCGAGTGGCCGCGACGCGACGTCGCACACACGCACACACATACGCGCGCGCGCGCGCGCGCGCGCGCACGCACGCACACGCGATATCGAGCACTAGCGCGATGTTCACGGACGCATAGTTCAGAGTTCAACAAATAATCCAGAGAAATAACAGCAATTCTCTGTTGTTTCATCGAAAACCGTCACTATGTTATGTGCCTGGATTTTTCGTTTACTCCGAGTGTCGAGATGAACTTGGAGCCCGGATGAGAAGCGATCTCGAGTCACACGCGGTAAATGAAACGCCCGTTCTCCAATTACGCGGTTACGGTTACGTCGCGTAAGACGTCTAAGTGACATCTCGAGATATTTTCGAATTGGATAGAAAGACAAATGGGGAACGGCAGTTCGTGAACGGCGGATTCGTGACAGACTCGATGCCGGATGGAAAAGGAAAGCGGTTTTCGTTTCGGCGCGAAATGAGAACCGTAGGTTACTATTTCCGGTTTCAACTCGCATGACCCCCGCATTGTCAAATATCCTGTGTGTCAAGTAATGACTCCGATCATGGATATTTCATCGGCCGACACGATAATTATGAGTGGAATATCAATCGGTGCGTCGTGGCATCCTCAGCCTCTCGCGGTCCTCGAAATGCGGCGATCGATTAATTAGCGAAGCGGAGATATAGTGAACGCTAATGAAAACAGGCGCGCGAGATGAGAGGATGCACGCGAAGAAGAGGAGCATTATCAACGAACGTAGCGAATAACACACCGTCTGTGGTGTTAGATACTGAGAAATTAAGGCTCAGCGCGTTCTTCGAGGCGAGAAATCGTCATCGGAGACGACGGGGAGTCAGCGAGTATAGCGACTCTCATACAACGAGTACGGCGAAAAAAAATTATGGTTGTAACCGTGTCGTTGCACGAAGATTCGCACGACATGGCGCCTCGCGGACCAGACGTTCTTGATCTTTGATCAATGCGAGAGAAAAGAGATCTCTCCCTACGAACGTTAGCTGCATAGATGATCAATGCCAGCGTCTTAATATTCTTTCATTCATCAATATTAACCTTTAGTAGATCCAATTGGGTCCTTTTTCGTGTTCTGCGTATATCTTTTCTTCGAAATACTAGCAATATCTGACTTAAAAATTAATAATCTCCATCTTTTTCACCATTTTACTGATATTGTAAAGTCGAAATATTTTGTCAATTTGTCAGTATTGTATATTGAAAAGGATATAAATAGAGGATCGAAACGTTTATATTGTATCTATATTTTATTAATATACTTTTTATACACGATTATCTAGTATCGGCTTGCAGCTTTTGTTGAATTTATGGTTTCTATCTCTTTCTCTTTTTTTTAAATACACAACTCTGCAATATATTTGCTAATCGCTTTATAATTAGCTGTTGTGTAATTAAGACGTTATTGTAAATCAAGTTTCTTTTTGACGATGTAAGCTAAAGTAATAAACTATTCTTCTTCTAATACATAACTTTATAAATACTTTCTAAAGATAGTATAGAATTAGAGTATATATCGTTTAATAATTTTTGTATATTTATAAAAATGAAAATTAATTCGGAATACGAATGATTCGTGTGTAGTAAAGAACGAAAAATCATTACGTGAAAAAGAATCTTAATAGCTCATCAAATATTGAATGAAATAATTTCAATTAAATGTTCGATTTTAACTAAAATAAATAAAAATAATTTTTTTTTTTTTATCGTTAACAAGTATTACAAGATAATAATAGGATCAATCATTTATTAATAATTACTAGACATTTAGAAATATTTAAAAACATTTAGAATAAAATTATTTTTGGTTATATTGAATATTTGACTGAAATTATTTCATTCAACATTCAACATTTGGTAGCTATTATTAGACTCTTTTTACAGTATAAAGATGTGTTAATTAATGATTTTCGAAATCTTAAGAGAAGAAACATTTTTTTTCTTATAACGCTGAAATTTTTTCATACAACGTTGAATGTTGTGCGTTTAATCCATCTTGTCCGTTTAGCTATGCATATCCGATCATCCTTCGGTTTAACGCTTATGTTTATTAATGTCGACGACAATACTCGAAAGTTTTCGAAACGATGAATGCACAGACGTGGCGTTCTTATATCGCTATTGTGAGCGAAGGCAAATGAATAGCCTATAATACTTTTTTATCATGTACACAGTATCCTTTAACCCCTTCTCAACTCCATATCTACCTACATACGTGCGTGCACGCATGTGTCGTCTATATATATATATATATATATGTATGTTTCACAAGATTAATAGACCTAATTTAAAAAAAAAACCAAATTCAAAGTATGTAATCTACGTAGTCGAACATTTATATTACACCGTACGTAGCATCCGTTGGGGGTAGAAATATCCGAATGATCCCTTTAACGAATATATATATATATATATATATATATATATATATATATATATATATATATATATATATATATATATATATATATATATATATATATATATATATATATATATATATATATATATATATATATATATATACATACGCGATATGTACATAAGTTGAGATTTTTTTATTTTGATTGACATACGATAAGCACGCGTCAATGCGGCTTTTATCGTTTTTGCAAGTAATATACTGATTTTTGCAACTAGCACGATACTGCCGTACGAGCGCACGAGTAATCGCGCGTCGCGTTGGTTAAGTAATCATAGGTAAGTTTGTCCTTCGCGCATTATCTACCGATAACTCGCAAGCCGTATAGCTTAACGCGAAAAAAAGGCGCAAATTCGATGTGCCACGTAATACTGCGACTGAATAAAAATAAATAAGGCATCATCGCTTTTTTTTTTTTCGAATTCTAATCCTGAAATTGACCTCTTGCGTTTTGCAAGCGTACATCGCGAAAATATTCGTCGCTAAATTATACCTCTGCTTTCCGAGCTTTCCGTTTCTATTTTCGACATTATCTGGAATTTTTTTATAATGCAACAGTATTGTATAATTATCAAAAAGTTATTTTTTACAATGCGATATCGTTAATTATTAAAAAATAATTTTTTATTTAACACGATAATATTATTGAAATAGAGAAAACTGGATTTTTAAAGAGAGAGCGCATTAAACTCTATATGTATCTATATAAACACGATTTTAAAAGTAATATTAAATCGAAGAGGGAATCTAAAAGTTAACTTTGTTGTCCCGCCATTGTACATCTATATCGCAGCTGTAAAACGTGTAACGCAAATAGAGCAAATTATATTATCGTAGAGGGAGAAGGGAGGGGGAAAAGGAAGGGATAAAGAAACCAACGTTATTATTTTTGTATTGAAAAGAAATGCCATGCTAAGCATTTAATGTTGGAATGTGCGACGAACGTTTCAGGTTTAAGAAAGATTTAAGAAAAGGAGGAAGATACGGGTTATACATGCATATAACACTACAAAATGGAGTTATCTCTAATATGATCGATATAAATCGATCATACGGTTAATTTTCCGCGCGAAAGAAGAAGTAAGTGAATTATGAATTAATTATAAAATCGCACGAGGAGGGAACTGTTGGAAAATTTGTCGCGAAACTTACGAAATAGCATCGGTGGATGTGCGCGCGTGCGCGCGATAAGTTGCCTGGTCATCGCTTTGCGCGCGAAATAATGGCACGACAGAAAAGTGCGAGCCGCTATATTTCTTCGTGTCGAGCGACTGCGAGCTGCGTGCTTGTCGTCAGGCATCGTGAAAATTTATGGTTCGACGTTTCTCTTTCGCGGTGAAAAAAAAAAAAAAAAAAAAAAAACGGACGACTTCTCGCGCGTCTTCGAGACGAAGGTGTAAACTATGTAAAGTAAACGAAAAAGTAAAAAGAAAAAAAAAAATAAGCGAGCCTTTTCTCTTCTTCGCGAGCGCTAAAAAGCGCTGGACGGATGGACTTACACCGCGACAATTTAAGAGGACAAATTTCGAAAAATAATAATGTATTTCTGCGACGGAAAAATCAAAAATTATACAGCTTACGTTGAAGCGGGTCGAAAGATCGTTGTCATCAATGTCGCCGTCGTCATCATCATCATCATGATCGTCGCAGCCGGTCTTGTGCAACCGCATGTGCGGTCCCTCGTTCCGTTCTCCAAAGAATTGACGGTATACCGCGACGTACTACCGGGCGATTGGTAGGATCGACTTCCGCGGCTGGCCGTCTTTCCGAAAGGGAAAGGATCGACTTCCCGGGCTGTCCATCACAGGTTGGTGCACGTTCATTTGCGAGGTGCACGACGCGCGCTCGTCGCCGAATGACTGTACATACGTCTCGAGAGTTCCACCTTCCACCAGCTAGTGTAGCGACTCTAGCCAAGTTGGAGGAGGAGAAGGTGGTAGAGGCGGAGGAAAAGGAGGATAGAGGGGAAGGGGATAAGTGGAGGTTACGCGGGGCGATGTACACGTAAGACCGGGCGAGAAGAGCGCATGGCGTGCGTGTGCTTGTGCATATGCGCGATTTCGTGTTCAGAGCGGGATCTCCTCCCTCGTCACGACACAGGAATGTTTCCGAAAACCTGGACAAGTTTCTCTCCTCCACGCAGTGGATTTCTGGATTCTACACACCGTGTTTTTAAATTTATTTAATAACCGCAAGCCACCTCGTCACCGCAAACGAGTAGACCTTCGCAAGTATAATCGCGACACACGATATTTTCCGTATCGAAAACGCATTATATCATACGTGCGCCTTTCTTTCTTCCTTATTGTTCTTAGTCAAACTAGCAGAGGAAAAAGAGACGCAAAGAATTGGAAGAGGAGGATCTCAGTAGAGAGATCGAAATTAATATTGGAATTTGTAAGTAGTCAATTATAAATGTTATTATTTAAATAAATATAATTGTTTGCATTTCAAAATTTGATTAGTCGTACGCATAAACTTGTGTACCGCGCCTTAAACTTGTATACCAGCCATCGATTTGTAACTATACAGGAAACGTGATTATTAATCGCGTGGAGATGGAATGATGAAGGACCGCAAGAGCCAATATAACTGTAGATGTTTATGGGTGAGTAAAATATTGAGAGAAATTTCTTATTGGAAATGGACGAATCAAAAGATTCCGATTACATCCATCAGAATTTTCATTATATCAGCTAGAATTATAATAGATTCAATCAGAAAATTCTACAATAAGACTTTTTCTAATGATATACATATAATAACGGGATCCGTTGGTTAAACGTTGGGATCAAATTGGCGATCAATTTATTGAATATCTGGCCTTGGTACTAAACAACCCTAAAGTTGAAATCATAAAGAGTTATGGTTATATAACAGTTAGGCAAAATTATTTAAAAGTCGTAATGGCTGTTTGCTACCAATGCCGTTAGAACACGATCGTACACATGAACGCACAACGCGTCGCTGTTATTAACACAGGCGTCGACAGGACATTTTTTTATCGGCCCCTATGGTAGTGCGTTTGCTGCGGGCACAGCTGAAGGAAATGGAAGAATATTTTAACGAAAGCACACTACAGTAATCGCTGTAGGAGGATCGCCATAAGAGGCTCGTCTCTTCCGCTTGCACGCTCTTAGAGGGAAACCGATTAGAAATACAAATTTAAAATACAGAAAAGAGAAAGGAGCTGTAAACGAGATACAATGAAGGTACAATCATAGAAGGATAATGATAAAAAACATAAACATGTTTATATTTTACGTCTGATTCATTTATTTGTCGCATCGCTGCTGGCGATTTGTTTTTCGAGCTATGTAAAATGACTTTTAATAAAAAAAAAAAAATAACACAAAGAGAATAGAAGGAGAACCAAAACCCAAGAAACAACAAGTAAGATGTGACACTGAAAAAAATATTTAATTAAACTAACAAAAAGGCCCAAACAAGAACAGCATACGGAATTTCATATTTCAGATAACCAAGAATTTTGTTTGTTCTCATCAAAATGTCCATTCTTGTTGAAGCTTTTTATATTGTTTTCGTCAAAACATTTTTCTCAAGATATACTTCATAACGCATAAATTATATATTCACGTTACGTTCGTGGTATTCATGGTGTTTTACCAATCTTATTCTCTAACGTCCCACAGCCTTCTACAGTCTTTTATCCCTCTAATAATTTTATAGCATCATACTGTTTACGAAATCATGAAATTTCTAATTAATGAGATCGATCGCCGAGCAAGCAAGCGTGTTCCGCGAAAAAGAAGATAAAAAAGAATATAAGCTTATGGGGGGAAAAAAAAACGAGTTCGAATATCGATTATGTTGAAATAGATTGAAAACAAGCGAATAGCATTTAGTCGCAAAGTAGGATAATTAGCGAAATAGTAAATGTATTGCTAACCTTGGCAAATTTTCCAAAAGACCTTCCGTATCTGCTTTTAACTTTATTGCACAAATGGCACTTCGTTTCTACGCACCTAACTTCCACCACAAGAGCCTGAGTCGACCTGTATTTATAGGCACCCGATCAGGAGAGTAGCCATAGTCACTATCGTGCTGAAAACTGAACGCAACCCCCGACCGTATACTTATCGTTACTTCTGAGCGTTATCGAAGCGGCGATGAAACAACTGCGGGGTGGTACACGACTACTAATCGAAATCGATCGATCGAACCGTTATTGTATTATAGGATACGCGCGTTTTTCTCGTTGAACTCCTCATCGAATCGATTATGCACAATGCGCGCCTACGAAGAAATCCTCCGTATTCCGTGGATCCACGAAGAAGTAGATTTGATCTTCCGCACGTTTTACGACTGATAATAACGGTTTATTCAAAAACACATTATTATACGCGTTATATTTTCTATTTTTTTTTTTTTAAATCATGCGCAGACGTTCCGTTATACTCGTTGTGTAAAAACGCGCGAGAATGTCTCCACTGCTCGTTATCGATCGAATTTCACCGGGAAACGAAAGATGAAAAACGCGCGTTTCTAATTGTTTTATTGTTCAAATTATAAATAACGTATTGGGCAACTTTCTGAGCTGATGCGCTCGTTTCGATAGACTCCAAGGACTTTTAATGCACTTACGTAACGATGCATAAGCAATGAATCATCGTATCCTTCTGCCTTCCATTTTCTGCCTTTACAATATAAAGGAAATGGAAAACCGATATACTCTCGTCTCTGCTTTCGGCGTGTCATCGATTATCAGGAATGAAGAATGACGTGGAGAAAGTTTAATACACAAAGTTTAATATACAATGTTCTCTCATCGTTATTCCAATTTACAGCAGTTGACATTTCAAGCTTTTCTGATTTTTCTCGCAATCCTCACAGATTTCTTTAAGCGCGTTGCGACAGTTTTGAAATTTAATATTAAATATTATTAAATATTTAACACATATCCGATAATTGTTTCAACGATTAAATACAACGAATACATACAGCTGACAGAGAAAAATGGAAGGGAAGGGAAAGATTCAGTAAAAAAAACGATTGTTAATTTGCCTGAAAGAAGAAATAAAAGAAATTCTCTTCCCGGAGAAATTCGTGACACATTCCACGGCAAGTGAGACCGATCCTTTGTTGATCCAAGATACGTAATAAAGTGTAAGAACGTGGAGATGTGTTACCTGCTTATCTTCCGTTCCTAACACACGTTTAACACAATGAAAGGCATAAAACAAATCTAAAATATTTCGAAAATACAATAGATACTGTCTTCTTTCTTAAGTATTTTTAATTATATCTTGTCACTTCAATTTTCTTTTCTCGCATTGTATTTTTACGTACAGACGCACGTTCCTTTTTCCGTCGAGGTCAAAGTTCGTTTTTGCCTCGGTCTGCATGTTGAAACGTTTCTTCTCCACATGCGATCGTATCATCGTAGTTTTGGAAATGTATAGAAATGTGCTCCGATATATATATATATATATATATATATATATATATAGATACATACATATATATATATATAGAATTATATTACAATGTCCTACGTCGACGTAACAAAAGCCCCTTATCTAGGCGCTGATAAGGAAAAAATAGTCTTTCCGCTATTAACAATTACTATCGGTATCTGCTAAATAATGCCAAACGGCTAGTTAGTCGTTATCGCAAACGCATTTACTTCGCACGCACACATGTACAAATATGCGACATGCATGCACATATATTATCGTATTTACAATTTAATGGCAGCAGCAAGTAAAGACAATGAATCGCTCTATTATTACAATGATGTAACAACAATGAATTATCGCGTGATGTGGAAGCCCCGGGAGTCTCAACTGTTAACAAGGAGACAAGGTGGACGATGCTCTTTGCACGGTTTATAGGTCACGTAATCGCGAATGGTTCTTACATTTGAAAAGGTGATAACTAACACGTCGAACGTTCGCGAAAAACCTTACATTGCGTCCGTTTGAAAAAAAAAAAAAAATGTGAAACGAAGAAAAAAGAAGATCACACTTCTTAGTCATTCTTGTCGATTACATGTGTGTGTCATGTTATACCTTTTAATCAATAATTAATTATGACAAACAAATTAATTATAGAAATAATTATGTCAGTTTTTATTGCCTCTCGAAATACCATAAAAAGTCACGCCTAATGCAAATAGTAAAGCTTTTTTCATTTTTTTTTCTTGACTGTTAACAACTCTCGCGGCAATTATTGGAGTTATTTAATACAGAATTAACTTACCGATTCCTTGGACTTTGCGTTTATCTCGATAACGGTTCTCTGAAGCTCGCAATTCTGTCGACGCAGGAGAGAAATCTGTATACGATATATAATTCTTATGTAAGTAATATATAATATATACCTCTATAAAAAAAGAAATTATACGAAGGTAATAATTGAAGGTCACAACTATTGCATATTAATATATATGCCAATTCCTCTTCGTTCTTTCTTTCCTATGTACGTGTACGTCATAATATTAAAAAAATATAACAAGCATTAATATTCATTACTATATGTATAGACTTTACTATTGCTAGATTATTAAAAGAATTTTTAAAATTTTTGTGATATTACCATAGATGATAAGTAAGCAAATTCATCGATAAGCGAAGACAAACCGCTTAAAAAGTGGGATAAAAATAAAGAAATTCGTAAAAAAATTAAAATTATACTGAGCATTAATATTTATTATTATAAAACGGGGACCGGAAATAAAGAAATTTATAAATTCAGAATTTAACGAGATTATAACGGTATATCGATTTTTACAGATTGTTATCAGGCGACAGCCGAAGCGCTTTTAACGTTCGACTTTGGCACTCGAGTAGAAATTCTTTCCGTGAAATTTGAAAAAAAAAATCTCACCACAAGCTGATCCGGATCGTTTATAAAGCGATCGCGCCCCAGATCCTCGACTTAAATATTAGGAAGCACAGTCAGAAGGAAGTCCGGTGGTGCCCCGTGGATACAGGACGTACGATACGCGTTTACATTTGCTGCTCTTATCTTACGTTTGCATTACGATAACGGTCCCCCCACCTCTCACGATCCTCGATGCGTTATCTCACATGACCCTTGGTACCACCAAAACTCCCCTCTTCCTGCGGGGTTTCCTCAGCAAGGCTCGAACTCCCCATTTGCCGCGAGATAGAAAAAGCGTCAAATCGTAGGTAGGTAGGTATGTACATAAAGTGCCTCACAATCATACGCTCTTTCACAATCCAGGAAATATCTTCGACGAGCTTGAAATCAGGCTTTCCTTTCTCTACTTTCCGGGATACCTAATACATACTTCCCGCCGCTTCGGTCTATCATTTTTGACCGGTTTAAAAGATCCCTGATCGTAATATCGTTCTAACGGATAAGGCGGAACGCGATGTTTGCTCTACACTCGTTTGCGATTATTGGGGAACGCGACATCTGTTAAAATAATTTCTAATCATAACGTAGCTCTTTTCTCTTATCTGAACTGGTAGACATCTGTGCGTATATTAAGTGCGACCTTTTTTTTATTTTTTTTTTATTTTTTCCAATTAATGTGAAAAATACAACCACGAAGGTTAGAATGATTTAAAAGAAAGTCATGTACATATCGAATAAAATTAATCACCTGATGATCCTTTTTCACGATTACAAATTTATGTATGAAATGTTGTGATTATAAAAAATGTTACTTTTAAAAAGAAACGTGCAAATTCCAAAAAATTAATTATAAATATTAATTTATGTGATACAAATGTATTCACCTCTGCATCTTTCGTGGTAAGCAGATCCTGCAGTTGGATGCATTTATCGTTCGCCTCCTTCAACTCCTTTGATCGTTCGTCTAGAAATAAATAATTATTATCAGAATCATTTATTATCGTGGTATTTTATAAATATATTATATTTTATAAATGGTATTAATCGCTGTTATATTGAAACTTATATTACTAATTTTCTAATTTATACATGAGAAAATAATTAGAAAAGAATTATGACAAAAGTTATGACGTGAATTATTACGACAATTTTTAATTAAGTTCCTAATATCCATTTTCCCACAGAAATCCAAACAGAATATGTCGATAAACAATCACGAATAATTGCGAAATTTAAACAATAATGAATTACGCAAAACTGATTTACGAAGATAATTAAAAAAAAAAGAAATAAAACAATTAATCTAAAACAATAATAAAAATTAATTAATTGTTATTTCCAAATCCATTTATATTCAATGTAATATTAATTTAGAATATGAATTTTAGATCAAAGTTTTAATTGATAATCATCAACAATCACAGAAATTGATAATAAAGCTACATGTAGAATTAATTTGTAGCAAAAAAAGAAAAAATACAACAAATTTAAAAACTAATGAAAATTAGTATTAATAATGTTTTTAAATCACATTCGATGTAATATTAATTATTGTTTGTAATTATTATAAATATATTGCAACATTCATTTTTAAAATGTGTAAATTCTCGTTCAAAGTTATAATTTATACGTTATATCTATTATAGCAGATTTATACTTTAATATATAAAAATTATATATATAAAAATATATGATCTTTTATATTATATAATTTAAGCTGATCAATATACTGTTTTGATTACAGTCGTTAAAAAAGATTACAAGTAAAAATAGACCAGCCACGTGATTAGTGAACTCAAGTGGTAACAATTTCTCAGTCGATAAGAAATAGAAACGTCATTTGACAGCCGTAACCTAACCTTTTACTGGAAAAACTACGTATTATGAAAATATAAGATCTGGAGTCGTGTTAGAATTTCGAGACATTAATACGTACCTATTTCGTCAACGATACCATCAGATAAAACTTCCCTCGTAAGATTCGTGATGTGTCCTTTTAAACTGGAGATACTGGATAAACTGTCACCGAACCACGCCATTTTTCACGTTAACGGTGAATGTCGCTTGTGTTATTCGATAAGTATACTGGCATTTATCACTGTGAACGATTGTCGTGCGTATGACACATCGCAACGATGGAAAACTCGAATTCGTTATGTCTATGCGAATTACAAAACATGCTAACACGTATACACTTGACAGCAGACAGGTTGAAACTCTCTCTTCTTGATGAGTTTTGGAACGCACTCGAGCCTTAGATTAGAACACATAGTTCTAATGGCTTCTGCACACTGGACGCGGAAACGCCGCGAGGCAAAATGTGACATAGCAGCTAATAAGCTCATAGCTTCTAACATGTTCATTGGTTATCGTGTTGCATTTTGCCGCGCGGCAAACGTTTCCATTCAATCACAATTCAGTGCAGGAGCCATAAGATTCTAGTCTAATTGTTCACGGAACTGCACAGTGAGCGATTGTACCAACTGTCGAGATTGCCTATACGAACAAGATGTTCGATCAAATTTTAATCATTCTATTTAATTTTAATCATATATCTTATTTAATTAAAAAAATATTTTGAATTTAAGCATTAGGAATTTAAGCATAAGTTTAATTAATAATGTATACATGCGAGATAAAATTTCAACAATTAAAAGAATAAAAATTAGTGATTTTGGAAACTGCAGAAATTTCTGGAGATCATAAAAAAATCATTAAAATCAAAATTATTAAAATAAGTGATGTATTCTGATACAAATGAAATAATAAAAGAGAATTGAAATACTTATCTTCCAAAAAATCTTAACATTTATAATTGTTGGTGCGTTCCAAAACTTGTCGAAAAAAAATGTTTTAAATCTTACTTTGAGTGTGTATATCCCTACGAAATATTAGCAGCAACGTTGCAGCAATATTATTTTGAAAGATATTGTAATAATATTGTCCGCTAAAATAAAATATTGAAAATGCATTCATATTCCTGCAATATTCAAAGAAATATTGCAGATATATTGCTGCATCATAATGTATATTTTATATTATAAATTTTGACGAATTTTTTTAGTAAATTCCGAATTTAAAAAAAAAACTTAAAGTTTAAATTGTATCTACATTGTATATAAAGAATACTTTTTTAAAAATAAAATATTGTATAAAGATATATAAGATTATCGATGATATATGCGTGAAGTTTTTTATATTTTCCTATTTTATTTTATATTATATTTTTATATTTTACTGAAGGTTTTAATAAAGCGCTAAATATATAAAAGGCCGCTGTTTATCTGCTTGCTCTTATATTCCATTCATTCCAATATTACATTTATTATAAGTCAATTATGATGATTGCGAGATTATTATACCTTGGAACTGTATCATTTGTGAGGGGAAACTAATTTTATACGTAATTTATAGCGTACGAATGACTATAATTTCGGAAATGTTATCATAAATTATCGATTTTCGCCACGAGTGCGACGTCCGCATGTTGCTAATTTATTTTTACTGAAAATATACTTGCCCCGCATGGAAACCAATGTTATTTCTGTCGTTACA